ACATTTTAATAATAATGTGAATTGCATATTTCATCCAATTTCAATTTCAATTCAATTATGTTTCCTGCTTCATTCTTTGCTATCACTACAACACACTGATGTGATTAAAAAAATCATCTTTATTTTTTTCCAACCTATTATGTGTACTTTTAACTGAACTGGATCTAAAGAGCCTTCAGAAAACAAATTATGATGGGAGGACCCCAATATGTTTATTATAGATGCTTAGATAGTTTCCTTTATGGTCAAATGATTTTTTAACCTCAAACATAATGTAGGTTGAGCTTCATTTATGTTCCCTTTTGATTTTCCTTTTGTTTTATCTTTCTCCATATCCTTATTAGATTTATTTTTTGTTGTCCAGCCATTTATTTCCTTTCCTATTCTTTTCTAATTAGGTGAAGATAATTTTATAACCTCAACAAAAGGCCACTTCATCCATTTCAATCTCATTAATATATTGGAGCAACTTATGACATAATTCCTATGTAGACAATTTTTTTGCACATTTTTCTGCCATGAGGAAGGAATATGAATTTATAATAATAGACTTTGACACTAAACAAAATATTGTACTGAAAATGAAGAGTTAGATTTGTACATAATGCATACCTATGAGGTATGGAGATCTGGGTATCTATTATAGAAGATATAGTGATTCTTGATCTGTTACTGGATGAAGCACTCAATTCAATAGGTATGGAGAACTGGGCAACCTATGAAGTATGGAGATCTAGGTATCTATTATAGAAGCAACATTGATCTGGCATGTAGATAGGATTTCGATTACCGACGATGTGGATTGAGAAGTGATGGAGCGGTGGATTGAGAGAGTATGGAGATCTGGATTTTAAGAAGTCGTAATAAAATTATTTTCGATTTTGATTTTGTTTTTTCTAATGGCTTTACTAACGGACCAACAATTTACCAATGGAATCCTTAACGGAATGTCGGGAGTCACTAATTCCGTTGGTAATTTATAATTCATTAATTTATTTTTTAGTAAGAAGTAAGAGGGCTGTTGATAAAATCGTTACTAATATTAATTTTTATTTTAGAATTATTTTTATTAATTTCACCAACGGATTACCAACAAAAATTCACCCAGGACTTATAAGGTTTCTAATTTCGTTGGTAAATCTTTCCTTTTTTATATAAATAAATAATAAGGGAAAATCGTTGGAAATCCGTCAGTATCACCGACGACAAATTGGACATTGGTAAAATTCCGTTGGTAATAGCGCACATTCTTGTAGTGAATTACCGTGCATGATAATCGTAGACAAAAGATAATCATGTAAATCATTCGAAATCCAAAAACGTGTTTTCAATGTCAAATATGTAAAACAAAATATTAAAAATTCATATTATAAGACTCATTATTCTCCTATTACAAATAAATCTAGCCTAATATGTTATAAAGAAGAAAGAAAAAGATATAAATGTTGTTCATTACCCGAAAATTCTTAAATTCAATCTTGAACTTCTTGGACTTGATCTTGATTTGTTATTTGCCTCCTTTTGTAATTCATTCTCTCCCCTTAATTATGTTTCGAGAGTTGATATTTATAATCCATCTAAAAAGTCCCGAAAGATCTCCAAAAATCGTGCATTTCATGCCCAAATGGAAATTTCCTTGTTGGAATTGAATTTGGAAGGAAATAGAATTTTCTAACGGGGCGGAATAGTGAACGTGGCAGCTGTCCACGCATAATAAGTAGCCCCAGTAATTAAGCTTAACTATATAACTAGGTGACTGTTGAGTTTTAAAAACTTCTTGAATTTTCCTTTTGGCCATTTTCATCATTCTTTCTTTTTTCACCTTAAATTACTTCGATTTTAGTACTTCAACTTTTACTCAAATGCATATTAGTCCCCAAACTTCCATCCATTGGCCAATTGATTCTTTTTTTTCTTTTCCAATAGCTTAGAATCGAATCCAAAACTGAAATAAGATAAAATTAACCCAAGCTAAGTAAAATCCAATACTAAAACGACACAAAAGTTTGGTAATATGACCCGAATAAGTGCACAAAAATACACTTAATCATCCATTAGAGGGAAGTTAAGGTGATCAAACAATTCACAGCTTGCTTCTGAAATCGACTGCTTTGGTGTCATGGCTAAGCTTCGCTATGATTTTGAAGCCACTGGACTCGCCTCATCCGACTATAGAAGCATTGTTAAAGAAATTCCTTCAGCGGTTCTTTTTCCTACATCCATTGACAAGATTATCGAGCTTATCAAATTTTCTAACTAATATCCCCTCCCATTTAATGTGGAGGCAGGGCCATGGACATTCTACTAGAGGACAGGCAATGGCACATAATGGGGTGTTGGTGAATAGGCTTTCTTTAAAGAAACACTATAAAAATGGGAATGGAATTAAGGTTTCTACATCAGGAAATTATATAGATGTTGGTGGTGAAGAGCTGTGGATTGATGTATTGAATGCCACCGTAAGACACGGCCTTGCACCTGTTTCGTGGACTGACTATTTGTACCTAACTGTTGGGGGTACGCTTTCTAACGCTGGAATCAGTGGACAAACCTTCCTCTATGGTCCTCAGATTAGCAATGTTCTTGAAATGGATGTTATCACAGGTACATTCTAGATTCTTTTATAGCATGTATATTTCTTACTACTGATGTGAAGCATGAATTGAATACAAGGGTGTGACTGTTTGGTAAGGGAATTTTCAAAGTCTAAATAAATAGTGCTTGAGGTCGATTCCCAAGTCGTCATCCCAAGCAACATAGGTTTTTGTTTCACTTCTCGTATCAGCAACAAATGGATGCATCCCTGGCTTTTGAGCTTTTACGGTAGAATAGTATTCAAAATTGGATTGTGATTTCTAGGTACTTGGAAGATCTTCTTGGTAGGATTCACTTGATCAAAAATTTGTCAAAGGAATATATACCTTCATGTGTTAGGTACATAATATCCACAGCTAAATGAATATCTAAAAAGCACCGACATGAACATGAATATCCGACACAATACACGTAGCATACACCGGCACGTGATTTTTGAAGAAAAAAAAGTACTGACATGATATGTCACCTAGACGTTGATTAAATTTTTTAAAATTCTTCATTTGTATAGTAAATTTTTTTTGAAATCTTTTAAATATGAGTATATATATTTTATTTACTAAAAACTTTGAATTAATAATACATAATATTTCAAATAAAAATGAAAAATGACCATGATAGATTATTCGAGTAGTATCGATATCCTATACGTGTCAGACACGGACACGGTATATACGTATATTTTATGTGAATGACAGAATCTTGAAACAGCACCTCTGCAGGTATATGCAAGTTTTGCATGGATATGGTCACTTTATGTAGATATGACTTTTTGACATTTGTCTGGTTTAGGTAAAGGGTACTTTATGACTTGCTCCAGAGACAAGAATTCAGAATTATTTTATGCATTTCTAGGAGGTCTGGGGCAGTTTGGTATCATAACTAGGGCAAGAATTCTCCTCGCAAAAGCACCAAAAACAGAGTATAATGAGGTTAATACTTTGTCATAAAAGATAAAAGTTTGGATTATTCTATGTGTACACTTTGCGGCGTACACAATCTTTTACACTCCCTCACATGGAGGGGGGCTCACAAATATTTTATTATATGTGGGCCCCCTCCATGTGAGGGGGGTGTAAAAAATTGTATAAACTATTGAGTACACATAGCACTTCACAAAAAGTTTACTGTTAGTTCATAGGTCTGTGTGGCATGAGATATTTGTGTTTGCAGTCCACACTGAAATATTGAATCCTATGCCAGGGTACTATACAAACCAACCTAGTTTGTCAGTTTATGTTATTTGCAATTCCACTAAATTAATATGGTTCCCGAGCATGTAAAGTTCCTAATTCAAATCTCATAAAATTTGTGTACATGTTACGCCTTTTATGAAATAACGAATTTGACTTGCATATAAAGAGCATGTTGAAAATGTAAACACGGCCTACACAAAAATGAATTCAACCTACCTAATATTTTGAGCTTTTGTGACAAGATGGTTAACTCCACTGTCAAAAAAAAAAAAAATGGCCTTCGTTAAAAAACCAGTATAATCATATGTGTTAATTTTTTCTTTTCTGAATAATATCAAGCAATTGAATTTATGTGCCATATTGTTAATCTCCTCCTATATACTGTGCTCTAGTTTGTAGTATTGCTAATTTGTGTTAGGTGAAATGGGTGAGAAGGCTATACAGTGATTTCTCAATCTTCACAAGAGATCAAGAACATCTCATCTCAATCAAGGGTCTAGAATATTTGGATGGCTCTGTCATGATGGACTACACTCCTGCAAATAGAGATCTTCCTTTTTCTCACCTGCCCATGTATCCCAAATTAGTTCTCTATTGAAGAAACATGGCATCGTGTATTGCTTAGACTTGGCCAAGTATTACGATGATGAGACCATCAACTCGGTTGATAAAGTATTCGTTTACACCTGTTTCTTAAAACTGGACACTAGTCAATCAATTATATGACTAAATAGTTTTTTTTTTTTTCTTTCTTTTTCTTTCAGGAAGTTGAGACGCTGCAGGAGGGATTGAACTACATTCCTGGTTTCGCTTTCATGAAAGACCAAACCTATATTGATTTCCTCAACCGAGTTTGACGAGGGGAAATAACCCTAAAATCAAAAGGGTTATGGGATGTTCCTCATCCATGACTGAATCTCTCTGTACCAAAGTCCTGTATCATGGATTTCAATGCTGGTATTTTTGTAGACATTATTCAGAAAAAAAATGAGCACACGGCCCCTACTTGTCTACGCAACAACTAAAATAAAGTACTTTTAATCTTGAACTGACTGAAATGCACTCAAGGCTGCACAAACTTTATCTCACAAGCATACATGCACATATATCCCCAGGGATACAAAATCCATTGAATGCTTTGTTTTTGAATCCGAGAAAAAAGTATTTCTAGTTCACATGGCCTATGTGGGACTATTGCATTCAGCCAATTTCAGTGACCGGATAGATTTGGACAATCAAAACAATGAAATTTTGTAATTCAGAGCTGGAATAAAGATAAAGAAGAATCTTCCACATTACAAATTCAAGGAAGATTGGATTAAGCATTTTTGTTCAAAATCGAACACTTTTCAAGAAAGGAAAGCACGGTTTGATTCGAGAATGATACTGTCGCCAGGACAAAAAATTTCCAATTCTGTTTAAATATACATACATGCATGAATATTAGCCATTTGAGTTGCTTAGACAGTAGAACTTTTAGATAAACCTAAGTTTTACTATTGAAGGGCCTAAAAAAATTGGAACGAAGGATCAGTATGTCTAAACGTACAAGGACTAATGAAACCTAAAATTTTAATAATTTGTGCATAGTGAATTACTACAACGATGGAAGATTACGTAGTCTCACATTGAAGTAGGCTTTTATAAATCTTGCATATTTTTAAGTGTTTATTTTTTTTCTTCAAATTGATTGCTTTCAGTGTAATAAAATTAGGGTTTATAATTCGCAACAAATGTGACCTCGTAAAATTACACCAAATAAATATTCTCTCATTGCCATCAAATAAATGACACTTTCTATTAGAGTAAAGTATGCACTTTCTGATAATTGTTTTCCCATCCAAATAACCTACTTTTTACAATCATGCAATATGCACATCATCATTTACATCATTTTTTTAAGACCATTGGACAGTTTAAAAAATTAAACAAATTTCCTTCCAATCTTTTTTAGCAACACATCAAATGTCAATGATGATGTACACTTCGATGTACAATTGGAGTGTACATCTAACATTTTTTATTTTTTATATCTTGCAGAATATAATAGAATATGTGAGCCCTCCGTCCTCGTTATTGTAGCTGAACCCAACATAAGTTAATGAAAATTGTTTCAATTGAAACGCTGTGGTGTTTTTGATCATTTGAGTTGTATAACACAGACATCAGGCTGGCACAAAAAAATCCCGATGTGTCACCGTTAGTTAATGATGAGAACCAATAATTTTTCACATAGTGAGCTATTTTTAGTATGTCTAGTTCGAACATAATATTCCCGTCTCTACACTTTTTATCTACGAAGCAATGTTCCAAAAATACGTAAAACGTGGCTAAACATGGAGATCAAGTTTCAAGTTTTACGAGCCTATGTGACCTTAAGCAAGGCCTATATGCAAAAAAGTGTTTCTTATTTTTATTATTATTTTAAATACATAATTATTCTAAAAATTATTCAATAATCAAAATAATACGTGCTAAATATCTAAAATTATAAAATGTTATATGTACTTAACAACTCCTACAATTAATCGATTATACAAATTTCAAGTTTTCGAAATGCAAAAATTAGATTATTTTTCATAGTTTCAACTTTCAAGATATGTTCTACTTAAAGAGAAATTTCATATAGACTTTCGAAGTTTCCAATAATATGTTGAAGTGTCAAAATTATAATTACATAACATAAATGACATTATCTAAATCTTATAGGATAAAGTTATTTTTGACTTTTGTAACGATAAAGTCACTTAAAAGCCTTTTAAAAAAAGAAAAAAAATAAAAATAAAAGAATTTAATAAACCAAAGTCAAATAAAAGAATTTTTTTTAAAAAGGAAAAAAATAAAAATAAAAGCATTTTTAGTAAAGCGGACTTAGGCGCATTAAGCGGTAAATTAATTGCTCAATTAGCGCTAACTGCCAAGCCAAAGCTAAGCATTTTGCCTCTGCCTCGCATCTGGGCAATGCTTAGGTGCACTTTTTAAGAACACTGCTACAGAGTATGCCAATTCTTGGATAAAAATATGTTATCAATATTTTTATCCCTTGAGAAAACCCACTTTGATTTGGAGGAATCATTTTGTGCAAGACAGTTTTGAGCATTAAAATCAATATCTTCTATATCATTTTGTTCACCATTATAATTGTAGGCTCATAGTCTTTCCACCGTTGTGCACCGAACTATTTAGGAAGCAAAATAATCGGTGTTGCGTTGAACATCTCAAATAAATCTTGGCCTAAAATAGTCCAATAAGACGGGAAAAGGCAATTTAGCTAGTCGTGCTGTCCTAAAGTTAAACTTGGACATGTAGAATAAATGTTCCCTTTAGCCAAAAGCACGTAAATGCAAATATGATAAAATCGTGACTTATTGGTGCAAAACATTGAATACAATTTTGACTTATCGAATCAAGATATGTGTCAAAATATGCACATTGTGACTTACTGAAATATGGATATTAGGAGATAAAATGAAGCGGGGTATGCAAATGCAAATTTCTTTTAGTTAGATGATAGATTACTCCCGTGCAATGGTGTTCAATATTATTTGTCTCCCAAAATAAAACTTTTCTTCTGACATTAATATAGCACAATATTAATTTTACCAAATGAACCAAAACTTGAGTGTACTCTTGTAGATTGGATAATATCGAATACAAATTGATGACATACAAAAATGAGGCCCAATTAAATGATCCAAAGAATGAAGTTCAGTTAGAAAATTTGAAGGATTGGCCCAAACGAGACCATATAAAAACCAAGACGGAGTTATGTAGCGGAAACCCATCATCGCTCAAGCCTGCGACATGCCCATGATCTGGGCGAGTATAGTGTTTTGATTGTTATTTAAAGCAACGGTTATTGAAACAGTTAATGTGACGATCCAAGAATCTCGGTTGCAAGCAGTTAAATGATGGGAGTAATGGCAGCAGTTGAAAACGGTAGTTTCTTGACAAGTCATCCATTATGGAGAAAGTGAGTAGTTACAGGGCGATGGGAAGTTTTCAAACGGTTCTACAAGAAAAAAAATTATCAAATGAGTATAAAAGAGAAAAGAGAACATAGAAGAGGCACGAATCAAATGACTCTTAAACAGAGAATTATGTAATTCTATTTCTTTCTTCTTGTTAACTTTCAATTACTTTGCGAATTCAGTGTGTTTGTGCCCCTTGGAGGCATTTCACTTCTTGCAAATTGTAATATTCATAAATAAAGCACCACTCGTTAGGACTTTGTCTCGAAAAGTTGTTATTCCTTACACAATCATCTAAACCTTCTTTTAATTGTTAGCGAGGCTCGATTTCCACGCGAAACAATTTGGCACGCCCAGTGGGACTCTTGGTGTTTGAAGATATGAAAAGTGAAGCAATATGCCTTAGAAAAACTCTGATAAGGAGTCAGCAAGCCAACGAATAGTCCAGTATGTGATCGAACGATATAAGGACCAGTGAAGTACTCCACAATCGGAAGGACAGAGTCAAAGTCATTACGAGCCAATGACAGAATTGAGTCCTCAAATCATGCGTGCATTGCTTAGTGAACTCACACAAAATGTCGTTGAACTGGTAAATTTACAAAATGTTCACAATATGGAAATGTATACTATGACAACATGGCCAAATAGCTAAACACTTTGAATGAAAATCATGAATAAGTTAGTGGGCCAAATCTGGCAACCAGTTATGCCAAGTATAGGGAATCACTTTCAACCCAGGACGATTGTGGGACATAATTCCCCAGTCCCAGGTCCGAATCAAGGAATAGAGCCACCATTTGGGCCATCTACTTCAAACCAGAGGGTTGTGGAATGGCAAATTTGAATAATGGTAATAGAGTATCAAACTCGGGCGATAACCCAAATGCAAGAGATAATGTCCAAACCAATGGACATAACACTCCGAGTGTTAATGATGACGGAAATATTCCGCCTAACGGTAATAATGGTTTAAATAACGGCGTTTTTGCCACAAACCAAGGACCAAAAGTTAGGCCTCAAGTATTTCTACCAATGAATCAACCTATAGGAGTTCCATATGATCCCACCGTTGTATTGAGCAATCAAATTATGGAGATAGTACATGATCAAATCAACCTATAGGAGTTCCATATGATCCTAATGTTAGGTTGAGGAATCAAATTATGGAGATAGTACATGATCAAATGGTTGTTGGGATGCGTCCTTTTATTAGGCCTATTTACACAAAGTCATATCCTGATTAGATAGATCAAGCATATCCGTGGCCTAGAGGGTACAAAGTACCAGAGTTTTCATTACTTACCGGTCTAGGAGAAGTTTCTACTCTGGAACATATAGGGCGATTGACACTACAATGTGGTGAAGTAACTGATTATCACAAAATGAGTCTGTTCCCTAGTTCGTTAACAGGAGTAGCTTTCTCATGATTCATTAATTTGCCAGCAAATTCGATCCAAACATGGCAACAACTAGAACAATTGTTCCACGCTCAGTTTTACAAAATTGAGTCTGAAGTTACTTTGGCCGACTTGGCGAATTTACGTCAAATGCCAAATGATTGGGCAGAAGGTTTCTTTAAGAGGTTTAAGACAGTTAGGAGCAAATTTTTGTACCTTTGCCACAAAAAGAATTTGTTAAAATCGCTCAAAGCTATTTCAGTTTTGATTTAAAAAATAAATTTCAAGACACAGAATTTCCTGACCTTTTTCAGTTGAGCGCTAATGTGATTAGATATAAACGTTTAATAAGAGAAGAAGAACAAATGAAAAACTCTAGTAAAGAGACTTATTATGGAGACCCAAATTTTGACGTTCATGTTGTTAATAACGAATATTACTATCAGATGGAAATATGTTTGGCCGAATTGATTAAGGGAGATGCAT